TTTTCTCGACACTGGGGAATTTTTTTCATTTTTTTAAAAAAATGGTTCGAATCACTACTGTAAGGGCTTTAATATGATACATCACTCAACCCAGTCCGATTGTTATTTGTGGTACCTGGTTTTGCGTGGAAAAAATACTAAAACACACCCGAATACAAAGTTCCTCCTCATTTTCAATGGTCGGAACAACAGTTATTTTTGCTAATTTTTAAACTTTTTCAAAAAAAAATTCGAGTTTTGAAGATTTTTTTGCGCTGAGCAAAGTTGCTTTCAATGTGTATTTCGGTGATGAAACGAGTGGGAGTTTTTTTTTTGTTTTATGGTAAGATTTGTGGTCTTTTCGATGATGAATACTCTTACCTTTTCTTGAGGAACCGCAAAGGTTGGTCCATCGGGTAACTGACGAACTGGACATTCCTTGTCGTTTAAAAACACCTCAGCTGATAGCAGTAATTGTGTTGCATTCACCAAAATGGTCTCTGAGCCCCCGCCAGTCATCGCCTCATCCTTTGATAATGGTACTCTGAACACCAGCAGTGCGTTTTTGTTTTCGCAAATCATCGGCAAATAGTCGCCTGGAACTCGGAAATTGTCGGTAGCTTCCTTGAGTTGCTCGGCATTTATTGAAGGCCATTTTTGATATTGACGCCAGCGGTTGAAGATTCGATCTAATTGCGCCCTGTTTTTCGGTGGTATAAGTTTTGGCAAGGTTCCATTCACCTCTTTTAGCCCTCGCAAGAATAATAATACAAATGAACAGTTTTCACGGTCGTCTTCCGTTTCATTCGAGGAGGGTTTGTAGGACGACTCACGATTATACGGGGATGTTTTCGTGTCAATTTTTCGGGGGAACACAAAATGGTTTAAGAGGTAATCATTGTTTTTCATTCTGCTGAAGCAAGATATTAGTTTGAATATTTTATGTAACTTAAAAAAAACATTATTTGAATTATTTGAACGAGTCTAGGACAACAGGGGAGTTCAGGCCGAAGCTCAAACTATTTTAGGCGCTTCAAAACTCTTCTAAATTATCATCAAAAATCAACTTTTGTTCAGAATAGTTAATTCTTGTGATATTTTTTCAACCTGGCTTCAAACTTCGTCGTTCTGATATCCGGCACCCAATTTGAACAGACAGAAGCAAAAATGTCACGTTTTTAGAGGGTTCAAAAAGGTTTCAGCAGGATATTTTAATCAGATTTTTTTTTTAGATTTTCAATAAGGCAGCTACTAAAATCATAATATGATCCAGGGGCGGATTTAGGGGGGGCGGGGGGCGGGGGGCGGGGGGCGGACGCCTCCTCCTTTCAGGGATTCGACCCCCTGCCGACCCAAAAGGTCTACCCTTTTATACTTTTTCAGAAATCCCTTTTTGGCCGACCGACCCTAAAACTTTTCTAACATACTATACTAACATTGAAGGGGAGCGCGCGCCAAAAAAAAAACGCGATTTTTTTTGTCAAAATGTTTCAAAAAGTGCCCAAAAAGAACTTTTTTTTACTGTTTTTTCAAAAATTTGCCTGCGGCGCAGACAATTCTGCCTAAATAGGGGCAAAACAGTGCTTTGGGAGAGCTCGAAAAATCAATTTGGTCGACCTAAAAAAAAAGTCGTCAAAATTTTGGAAATTTTTTTGAAAATCCGTCCCCCCTCGAGAAAATCCTAGATCCGCCCTTGATATGATCTATTATTATGTCTTGAAACTGGGTGCGGGCAGCCGAGTAGTGGGCAAAATTTAAAACCTCAAGATAGACAGGATAACATTGAGCAGAAAAAAAGGGTAAAATACTATGCGGTGGTTGGTGACGTACGCAGCTTTTATGGGTTTGGTCACTATGGGTTTGGTCACTAATCGATGGGTTTGGTCAGTATGAGCTATTATTGTTCAGTTCAAGCTATAACAGACCGGAGTGCGGTGTTCAATCAAAGTCGACTATTTGATTTATCGCGAGTATGAAAAAAAGCTTGAAGTTTTGTAGGCCGCACTATATTATGCTACTCGGAAATTGTTAAACAAAAACAATAAATTGGAAACAACTCCGCGCTGATTTATCCATTTTCAGTTTAAACTTTCACTAAAAACTCTGAAAAATGAGGATTGCTTAAATAGTTTGTCCTTTTTCTGAAATAGAAATTAGTCATTCTGCGGCGAGCTGCGATTGGTTTTTTTCTTCAGATAAATTATTTAAGGTAACACTAATGGGAACCGGTTAGGCTAATTTTAATAGTCTTTCGCGTTGCTTAGTCAACTTGACTAGTTTTTCAGGGCCTCAGTAATTTGAAATCCATTTCTGGAACTTAATTTGATCTGAAGTTTTATCTTTAAGGAACCCCATAGTATTTTCCGATATGCAACAAACAAACAACTGTTAATTTTGAGATAATTTTTGGAGAAATTTTTGTTAAATTAAATAAGCTTTATAAAGCTAGTTTGGAAGGGAGTTTTGTATAACAAATGATTCTGACGAACTGAAAGTTTTTCTCTGGCAAATCCTTGTGAATTTAATAAACAATACCTGGGTCGCTAAGTTGAGTTATGGAATCAAAGCTCACTGGTAGTTAATATGAGAGTTTTTTGTCTTCAGACCCAAAAAATTGGTCTTGAGCTTGCTTTCAGCCAGGTTTGTAGGCGTTTGTTAATTTTAAAATTCGCCTAAGAAACTGGGATTCCAGCCCTGGTTCCTAGCAAAAATCTTTGAATACCAGTCCAGGACTCTTAGACCGATCTAGCCAAGCCATATTAATCATTGCAAGACTTTGACTTGGTTTTCCCTCTCGCCAAGCCTCCTGGCTCCAGGGATGGTTTTCCATGGACAGGTAGCCCGGGTTGGATTAACACAACTCGTCGCTTGGATTAAAATTATAGCTGTTTAAAAAAAATTCATTTCACAGAAATAGCATAAGCGGAAACTGATCTGGGAAAATAAACGAATAGTTATTTTAAACACGCATGCACGCAAAGCGCACATATAAAAACTAGAAAATTTTTACCGCGAAAACAATATACAAGGAAAAATGA